TAAAGAAATAAGTGTTTAATTATTTAATCATTATGAAAGAAAAATAAAAAGGGATAAAAAATTATTAATTAAACCTATTTCTACATTTTTTAGATTTATTATTAAAAGAATTAAAGTTAACACCTAATTTAAAACTAATTTTACTTACATGCAAATTTATTTATGAAAATACTACAAATAAAAATATTTATTATTTTAATTCTTTTTCTGATTTTTTTTGTATATTTTTTATGTTTGTAAAAATAATTAGTTTAATTAACAAAGCAATAATTTAAAATAAAAAAAAAATATGAAGAAAATATAGAGAATTGCAAACCAGGGGGGTAGTAGTCCCAAATTAGGAGGTATGGCCTTTAGCAATCTGGCCCATTTAGCAAGGCCTGGTGGACTTTTTGAGTAACGTGTGGCGCGTTGACTGGGATCCACTATGTTCCTCAATTCTTAGCCTTGTGATTGTTGAAGCTGGGCACGTGGACACTTGATTTAGGAAGATGTACGGTGCGCTCCACTTTTGAAACTGCATATGAACATGTATTGCAAAATAATATGGAAATAACGTAGACCTGGGGCTCGAACCCAGGTCATGTACCTTTACCACCAATTCTGCTTGCCAGCTGAGCCAAGTGCGCGTTCTGATTAATAAACAAACAACAAATATTATAAAAGAAAACAATCAATGTTAGTGGGTCTGCGCGCGAATTTCAAACAGACCAACCAGATCTCGCCACGAATTCATCTTCTTCGCGTGTTTCATTTTTTTCTGAAACAAGAACACATTGGCCACGGTTTTTCATGCGTTCTCTTAGGCAGCTTATGGGAAAATAACGATTACCCCTCTGACGCTCATAAATTGAGCGCGAGGGTTCCATTACCTTCGTCCAAATGCGCTGGTTTGAATGGTGGTGGTCTTGAGGGCTAATTTTTCTTTGTTTCAAAAGCCCTAATCTGAAGCTCTGCAAACCCTAAAAATCAAACATGGCATAATCGCGTGTAGCACATAAAAATACAATTAAATGTATTGGTTAGCTTCAGAACTTCATAATGAACATGAATCAAGTATTAAAAATTACAAAGGATGCGTAAATCAAGATGCACGATTATGAATTTTTTTTGAAACAGTTTGAACCCTGTATACCGATTCTTGGAGTTTGAGTGAATGTTTTTGATTGAGACACGTTCAATGGACCTTCAGCAAGCCAATGGAACAAAAATTATGTCTTGAATCGCCTTGAAAGGGAGTTTTCAGAATTGACTTCTTTGAGAAAAATTTCAAGTTTGGTAATGGCTTTTGGGCGCAGCTCAGTGTGTTTTTCCATTAGGGTTTCCTTTAGGCTTATGTAGTGAGTCCATTAGGTCAAGAAAGTAGAACAAATCCAATGCAATGATGGTTTTTGAAAATTTGATTTTTAAGGATCTTTTTCAATCTTTTCCATGTGTTCTTTGTTCTCAATCATGATCAATCAACCCAAATCTTTCCTTATTTAGTTAGGCACGAAATATTGAGAGTAAAACATGTACAAAAAGATTTGTTAGGTTAAGTTAAGTATTTTTCACATATTTAATTGATTTAAATGAATTAATATAAATAAAAAATTCAAATAAATAAATAAAAAATGAAGAAATACTTCCCTTTGGGCCAAGTGGTCGTGCACATGCTTGGAATGATGAATTGTGGAAGAAAAATGGGCCCATTAGCAATTTTAGGTCATTTGAATCAATGTTGACTTTTCAAGATATCCAAAAATTTCCCAACTTCTACAAGGCATAACTTGCTCAATTTTTAAGATTTTCTCATTTTCTTGGACATTTTGGAAAGGTCTTTGAGTCCTCTAACCAATTTCTTTGGTCCCATGTCATTTTGATTTACCAATCTCAAGTGATGGCCTTTTACTTAAAGTCCCTTTTTGCTGACTTTTGAAAATGACCTATAATGTTGAAATTGATAACTTTTTGTGAGAGAATTTCTTGGACTTGAAGTATGAAGATGAGTTGTAGGAAATGTCTTTCTCTTCAAAATGAGCTTTGGATGGAATTTTTCTGATAATCCATGTGAAAGTTATGCCCTGGTCAATTTCAGTTGACTTTTTCAACTGTCCAAATAAGGAAACTTTTGCATCTTGATGATTTCTGAGCCAAATTTTGAGAATCATGATCAAGAATTGATAAAATGATGTTTGTGGCTTCAAAATTATATGTTGACCAAAAATTTGAACTTTTGACTGTCAAATGACCATTTTGCCCCTACAGTTGACTGTAGTGCAATTAGGGTTTTTTGACTGTGCAATTTTGAGCTGAATGTCTTGAAACTTGATATGAGGATGCTTGACCATATTTGTAGGCATATGAGACTTGATTGGACCTTTGAAAACTTTATTTTCTTGATCAGAATCAAAACCCTAATTTTGACTGTATGGGAGATCTTTGCACTGTGTAACCCCTGGGGAATTTTGCAGCTTGACTTAGCAATTTCCTGAAGAATATGGGAGGGCAAATTTTGGGGTACAACATTGGGTATTTTCCAACATGAGGAATTGTAGCAATTAATTTTTCTTAAAACAAGGATCAAAGGAGTTATGCCTGTTCTGATTGGTTTAAAATTGTATTTTCTCATTTCCTACAATTCTTTTAAGAAGTTGAATAGACACTCCCTTGCTTCCTTCCCCTCTCGTCTCCTCATCAAAACCCAGTCTCTCAATCAGAATTTTCTCCTCAGTTGCTGTTGGTCCTCTAGGACTGTCAAAATGTCTCAAACACCATCATCATCCAATACGACTATTTCAACCTCTTCCTCTGATCAAGATTCTAGGACAATCTCTTCTTGTCTGGACTCTGAAGTTCTGGAGATCTCTTCTCGTAGAAAAGTGGGAACTAACCCCATCAAGGTCAAAGGGTTGAGAACAAGACATGCAGGAAAGCCCCAAGCTTCTGCCTCTGGTAATCCATCTCATCCTTCTTCTTCAGTTCCCCCTGAAATTGCAAATAGGGAAGGGACAACCTATGTTAATCAAGCAATAGCAAAAATTGTTTCAAGAATTCTGAACGAGAACCACTCAGTTCCTGGCATTTCTGTTCCTCTGAACCAAGAAAGTTCAAATGCTGAAACAAATCCAGATGTCTCTAAGAATGTTGAGACATCAAACAAAGAGAAGAATGCTGACATTGCTCACAAGAAAAGAAAGAAGCCCGAATCCTCTGGATCTGATGACAGTGCTTGAAGGTTGGTTGCTGTTTGGTGGTGTTGCTGGTCAGTGCTGATATCTAGTGGAGTTTGGAAGTTTTTTTTCTGCTGCTGCTCTTATTAATTGTTTTTGGATAACTGTATAATCATTATGAACATGTATCTTTGGCCCATTTGTGGCTAAAGAGGGGGAGAATATTTTGGTACTTAATATGTTCTTGCTCAATTAGACATTCTATTTTTCTGCAGTCATTTATTTCTGCTGCTATCTATCTCTGATTTCTTAGGGTCTTTAGCCAAAAATCTGCCAAAGGGGGAGTTTGTAGTTGTTTAGGTATTGGCTTGCATTTTTGGTAAAACCCAAGTGTATGTGTGAATGTCATGACTGATGTCATAACATTCTAGTTTAGTTTGTACTGACTCATTAGGTACCTTTGCAGAAAAATATTGTAATTCAAGTACTGATGTTTATAAGTGTGTATCTGAGCATTTTGCAAAATGATCACATTTTGCTAAATCATTAGACAGGTTTTCTCAGATGTCATAACAGATGTTATGACATCCTGTTCTGAACTAACAGGTTTGCAGGTTGGATAAGTCTGAGTTTTTTCAGGAAAATAACTCAGTCTTTCCTGAACAGAATCCTGCGTTTTCTGAGGGGTAACCTAGCTCAACCCTAACCTGGTTAATAAAGTCCTGTGACCTGGTCTTTAGGTCAAACGGAATTTACCCTAGGTTTTTGTGGAAACCCTAACTGAAGTTGCAGTTGCTATATATTCAACAGAGCTGCTGTTTTGCAAGGTATCCCTTTTTATTGATCAGAAGATCATTTGTAATCTGTATAGATTTGATTATTGTACTCCAAGCAATTATCATTGTGATAAGTGACTTGGAATAGGTTTCTAATTGTAAGGGTTGTGTAGCACTCAAAGCTTTGAAGCAAGAGTGTTTGAATGTTCCTTAACTAAAGCTGTGAAGCAAAGTCAAGTTAGTTGTGTGGATCACTCAAAGCTGTGAAGCAAGAGTGATTGTGTTGCTTGATTAAAAAGCTGTGAAGCTTAATCAAGTGTTTGTTTTTGAAGAGGGTCTTCATCAACTCTTAAGTCAAATTGTTTTATGTATCACTGCTGTGATTGGGGGGGGAGTGAGTAGGAACTCAGGTTTAAGTTGTACTTAGATTGGAATTGCATTGGGTAGGTCTTAAGTGAAGGAGATAAACTGGTTGGTTTATTCCTGAATTAACATCTCTTATAGTGGATTTCCTCCCTGGCTTGGTAGCCCCCAGAGTAGGTGTTGTTGCACACTGAACTGGGTAAACAATTGACTGTGTTCTTTATTGCTTTTGTATTTACTGTCATATAGTAAGTCAGATACGGTGTCATAACATTGAACGTGACATTGAGTATCTGCAGCCAGAATTTCACATGCTTTTCTCTACATACTTATACAAAGAAGTCACGAAGAAGACAAAAAAAGTAAGTTTCGGATCTTACCGGTCGGAGGCATTGCGACACTATTTTGCAGTCACTGTCGTCGAAACAGAAGTTCAGAAATCAGTTCAGGTACGACATCACTTGATTTCTTCCGCTCAATCTTCTTCTTCTCGTCCCTGTGAATTTCTTCTGTTCTTGCATCTTTGTTGTGCGTTGATGTTCTTGTGATTATTGAAACAGGTTGGCGAAGATTATTAAAGAATCGTTGCTGATGGAAGTAGCTGAAGTTCTGGTGCGGATTTGTCGTTGTGTTGCTGTAAGAGTTTCAGTGTCGATGAAGGTTAGAGATTGAAGTCTGAGATAATGAGGGTTGTGGTAGGTGATAAAGAATGATGGTGGATATCTCAGAGCGAAGGAGTAGAGATTCGCGAGGGTTTGATTATGAAGGGAAAGGAGAGAGGTCAGAAAATAAGGGTGAAGGTCGAGGATGGAAGAAAAAGAGATCAGAAAGAGATGTCTTAGATAATTTTCTGGTGAGTTTTTGTATCTGATTTTCCTCTTACTTTTCTTGTGAATTCCCCCCTCTAGATCTGAGATGTCTTATGTTACTGAAATCTTAGCATGAGTCCTCTCTCTTCTCCTTTCTTATATATGTTCTCTTATGTTGGAAGTTTTGTTAGAGAGTTTGTTAGCTGTTAGTTATAGTTAGTTATGGATTGTTAGTTTTGGTTGGTTAATGAGGAAATCAGTTAGCAGTTAGTTTCAGTTGAGAGTTATGTTAGAAGTTGTTGTTAGTTTGTTACTAGTTCTGTTTGACAGTTAGTTGGAGTTAGTAAAAGGTTTTGTTGGAAATTCTTTTTGGGCTTTCTGTTATAGAAGTTAGTTATTCTGCTTGTATTCAGTTTGCTGAAAGTTTGTTCGAGATATATGCAGTCCTGTGAGCCTTTTTTTTGTTATAAGTTTGCTTGGTTAGGAGATGTTAGGACAATGTGCAGGGCTGTTAGAGAATTGGTTTTTGATAGTTCTATTAGCAGTTTGTTGAAATTCAATTTGTAGAGGATGCATGTATGCACAATGACCTTTTGGTTGATGAATGTCAACTGTTAGTACATTTCCTGACTTCTTGGTTTGAACTAATGCAGGGCTATAAGCTAGTGCAAGGACTTATTTGGATATGGTGTCAATTTTGTTTGCGGATGCAGGGCTGTTTGAATTGGTTAAGCAGGTTGCGGGAGCATAGTACCATGGCCTCGATGAAAGAAAACGGAAGCGATGAGAAGGAATCTTGAAGGTCAGCAGTTTGGTAATGAAGGCGGCAACATGAAGATATGAATAAGTCTTCGTTTATGGGATTTTAGAACCAATGTCGCATGGAGATGACTGAAGATATTCTTGTAGGAAATTGAAAAGACTTATGTAGCTTAGAGAATATTGTCACCTCTTGTAATTTTCTTTGTGAATTGTAACTTTATTTTTGTATAACATCAACATGGCTTGTAAATTTGCATGATTATGACCTTGCACAAACATGAATATCTGAATTTGAATAGAACTCTGATAAATGCAAGCAATGAATAAGTGAATAACCTGGTTATTCTTACCAACAAATATCATGTTCTGATTTGTCGTTCCAAGTCAAACATATCTTGGAACCATACACAAAACTTAAGTGATGCATAAATGAATCCATATCTTCTCTTGTATGAAAGCCATGTAAACATTCTTCCCACTTTGATCCATTTTTGACAAATTGAATTCATAGAGTCTCTTTCAACACATCCCTTTTTTAAAGTAATCCCTAAGTCATGCTTAAATTCGCGTCGACTTACACTTTATTCCCACAACTCCTTGATAAAAGGCAATTGAATCCACCCTTCGCACAAACCGTAGTTATTTCCTTCTAACCCAAAAATCTTGGATTGAATTAGTAAAAGATAGAATCATAGATTGCGATGCCATTATCCCTTACAATTCGAGCCTTAATTGATTAGAGAATGTGCCGATGACCTTGGCTTGGTGAATAAATGAATTATATCCATTTAATAGCAAGCCTCTTGACATTAATCTTGATCAATCATAAGAAGGTTCAGCATGACTTTCTTTCCTATGAAATCCTCAGATTAAAACTAAGCTTTAGAAACATCAAAGGAAAGAGGTTCAATTGGAATATTGATTCAGTCATTAAGCGCCACAAATGAAACCTTAATACACTTGTCTAAGGATGGAAATTTGATGAAGACAGAGGTCTGTAATGACCATGAATACACAACCATAGCTTCAAACCATTGATCTTTGCAAAAAAACTCGCAAACCATTGATTGTTGAAGAAATCAGTTGAATCTCCCCGTATGAAGACGAGGGCTTAAAAGTATAGAGAAACCCTAATTCCACCATATCGCTGATTCCACGCCAAATTATGTTGTTAGCGAATGTATGCAGTGTTAAATGACCTAATGGAGATATGTACATGAGAAAAGCGCGACAATGCATAAACCAGATAAAAGTAGAAGGGTAGGACAAATTTGGGGTATTACAGCTGCCCCTATTTAATCGTCTTAAACCTGAAAGTATGATTGGCGCGTGCCTTTCGGAAGTTCAAGGTGGAAGATGATTAAATACCAATGCCGGAAATTTTTCCTGGGAGGAAGTATGAGTGTTTTCTTTATTTATTTTTGTGTTATCTGCTGGGGAAAAGAAATTTGTTTTTTTAATGAAGAGACAGAGATTGGACTTGTAACGTGGAGTGATGCCAATACAAGACAAATGGTTGGTATGAAAAGACAGCGGACGAGGTCTATGGGAGACCTACGATCCTAAGGTGAAACAATGAGTAATTTTGACAGAGAACCTAGCGTACGGGCGATCTCAGGTTCGACGACGATCTATGGGAAGAACCTAGCCTACGGGCGATCTCAGGTTCGACGAAGATCTGAGGAAGAACCTAGCCTACGGGCGATCTCAGGTTCGACGAAGGTGATCTATGGGAAGAACCTAGCCTACGGGCGATCTTAGGTTCTAAGATGATCTAAGGAAGAACCTAGCCTACGGGCGATCTCAGGTTCGACTACGATCTATGGGAAGAACCTAGCCTACGGGCGATCTCAGGTTCTAAGAAGGAAACATGGGTTACGACATGATGATTTTTTAGATAAACGACACGAACGAGTATCAAGAAAGGTTAAACACGGACGAGTGTTTGAATCAATACAGACGAGTATTGAAAGAAGATACGGATGAGTATTAAAGGTTAAACACGGACGAGTGTTTGAATCAATATGAATGAGTATTTAAAGAAGATACGGACGAGTATCAAAGGTTAAACACGGACGAGTGTTTGAATCAATATGGACGAGTATTGAAAGAAGATACGGACGAGTATCAAAGGTTAAACACGGAAGAGTGTTTGAATCAATACGGACGAGTATTAAAAGAAGATACGGACGAGTATCAAAGGTTAAACACAGACGAGTGTTTGAATCAATACGGACAAGTATTGGTAGAAGATACGGACGAGTATCAAGAGGTTTAAACACGGACGAGTGTTTGAATCAATACGGACGAGTATTGAAAGAAGATACAGGTGAGTATCAAAAGGTTAAACACGGACGAGTGTTTGAATAACTGACCCGGGTGGGTGCTTAGGAAACTTGACACATACGAGTGTTTAGGAAACTGACTACCAGACAAGAACTAGGTTTAGAATGACAAAGTGTATTGATTTTGTTTGGCATTGAAAATGTGAAGGTCACCGACTGAGGACTTTGGGCATGATACCCTCTTGTAGGGACGTATTGTTGTCCTTGAATAACTCAGATTTTTTGTGTAAGGCACATGATCTGGCTTATGCTTTCTATGTATGTTTGAATTTCTTTTTCCGTAAAGATCCATTCTAATGCATCTGTTACGCGCTTTTGAGGATGAAATGTTATGCAATGATAACTATATGCAATGCGAAGAAATAAACTTCATGGGGATAAGAGTAGACTTGCTGGGAATCATTGCTCATCACTGGGGATGCCAATATATGTTGACGTTGGAAGCCTGCAGTACCAAAGATCGCTGGGTATACCGCTAAAAATTTGTATTGGGGGGTTCTTGAAGACCAAACATCGTTGTTGACTCTGCTGAGGATTGAATTGCTGACGAAGCGATTCTTCAGGTACGATGCTGGATTCTGAATCGTACCGTTGGGGACGAGATAATCTGGCCAGACTCCCATATATCCTGAACCGTTGAGAGGATGATAGAACTGAATATGTCGAAGAAAGGATACTGAGCACCATATGAATCTCTCCGAATACCTGCCCCAAGTTTACACACACTTGGGAATTATCTCTTGAATCATTTGGGGATAAGAGATGGGCATGTACACCTATGAATGCCCCGGTTAAACTCTGCGAATGCCCCGGTTTAGCTCTGCAAATGCCCCAGTTTAGCTCTACTGAGGATGCTCTAGATTAACTCCACTGAGGATGCACTTGCGCGTGCTGAGTCAAACGACGACTCTGAATTTTCTGAACTCACTTGGGGAATCCAGGTTTGTAATCGTCTGTAGAAAATAAAAGTGGCTTCACGTGCCGGCTAGGTCAAGGTGACTGTTGCAAATTACTACTTGCAAGGAAAAACAACATTTGGAGTGCATATGACATCCTCACATGGTTATACATTGACGTGAAGTCAATTTTTATCTCGGCTTGAGAAATTTTTTATTTCCCATGTTTCTAATGCCATGTTTAATTAACAAATAAAATCTATTCTGCATATAAAAACATTTCATGATAATAAGAGGCAACTTTGATGAAAACAGATTTTATTGATCGGCCTGTGAATAGGCGTTTGTACAAGGGAGCAACTCCTATATGAGGTAGTTGCGAAATAAAAATTAAGAATACAACAGGTATAAGTGGCAATGAGAGATGCTCGAATTTCCATTAAAACCGATATTGCTACAGTTCCCATATCCTAAGTTGTCTCAATGCCTTGCCTCTGAAGAGTAGTAGTTGGAATGGTCAATTCGCTGCCAAGGTGTTGTAGATGTGTACGTGTCATTCGTGAAGAGCATTCAGACTACAGCCTCTCGCTTAAAATCCCTAATTTTTGCTTGGATCGCCCTTTCAGGTTTTCGACCCAACGGGATACCCATTTTTGCCTAAGTCGCCCTTCCGAGTTTTCAACTTAGCGGGTAGTTATCTTTTTCATTTTATCCCTAACTTTTTCCTGGACTTTTGTGTCCACCGGGATGCCCATTTTTGCCTAAGTCGCCCTTTCGGGTTTTCGACCTAGCGGGTCTCTTTATGCGTAGAATTTTTTGACTGAGTCTGAATTGACTGGGAGCGGAACGTCTTCCCCATCCATATCTGTCAGGATTAAGGCACCTCCTAAAAAAGCCCTCTTTACGATGCATGGCCCCTCGTAATTGGGAGTCCATTTGCCCCTTGGATCGGAATGGCTTTGTATGATGACCCTTCTTAGGACTAGATCACCAGGGTAAAACTTTCGAGGACGAATCTTTTTGTCAAATGCTCTTTTCATTCTCTGTTGGTATAACTGGCCATGATAGATGGCCGTCAGCCGCTTTTCATCAATCATATTGAGTTGGTCGTACCTTATCTGAACCCATTCTGCCTCATCAAGCTTGGTCTCCATCAAAACTCTTAACGAAGGAATTTCTATTTCGACATGGAGCACGGCATCAGTGCCATAGACAAGAGAAAATGGGGTTGCCCCTGTTGAAGTGTGCACAGATGTTCTGTAGCCATGTAGAGCAAAAGGCAACATTTCATGCCAATCTTTGTACGTTCTGACCATCTTCTGGACGATCTTCTTTATGTTCTTGTTAGCAGCTTCGACCGCACCGTTCATTTTTGGTCGATACGGTGATGAATTGTGATGTTCAATCTTGAATTCTTCACATAATTCCTTCATCATGTTGTTGTTAAGATTAGAACCATTATCAGTGATGATTCTATGAGGGACTCCGTAACGGCATATGATTTCCTTCCTGATGAAATTGGTGACGACCTGTTTGGTTACATTCTTGTAAGAAGCTTCTTCTACCCATTTGGTGAAATAGTCGATAGCCACTAGGATGAATCTATGGCCGTTCGAGGCACTTGGTTCAATTCCCCCAATCATATCAATTCCCCACATCGCAAACGGCCACGGGGAGGTCATAACATTCAGCGGGGTTGGAGGAACATGAATTCTGTCTGCATATACTTGGCATTTGATGCACGATTTCGCGTATACACAACAGTCGCTCTCCATCGTCGTCCAGAAGTATCCTGCT